ATAAAATGCAGCTGATAATCTGACAGAGTTCAGACAACACAATAGCCTTCATACAAGGGCTGAACCTTGGGTTGTTGTGTGGCCCAAACCCAGCTATGCTAAGAAACCCTGGCTAGTGGATTGTTGAACAGCCCGTCAAGGAAGTCCATGCTTTGCTGCTGACTTATGAACTGCGGGTTGTTCCCCGTGGCTTGATAGCTCAGCTGGGTCCAGACAACAAATGACTGCATCTCAAAAACACCCAGAGTTTCAGTGACAACCCACACTCCATCCTTCGAGACGTGGCTTATGTCGTCCGAACCCAGGCACTGTCGCCATCCTGGCTGAGCCAGAGAACTTCCTTCCACTTCCAACCTGGCTTTTGCAGCACTTCTGGGAACATCTGGGGTGCCATTGCTAGGCAGAAACTCTTAGTGCAATCCAAACTAGGCAGCTTTTATATTACCCAAAACATGTCAAATTATTAAAAAGGAACTTTCTGGGTTGGGGAGTTGTTGGGTTTTGTTTGTTTAGGAATAGAGTTTGTTGCATGGCTGTTCTCTAAAGGAGAGGCTTGTACTGAGGAAATGTTTAAAGCAATGAATGAGACAGCGACAGCTTTGCAAAGGAGATCACTGCCCCTCCTGGACAGAGCTGCTTCGCCTCTTTATCTGGTGGGCTTGTCTCTCACCCCTCCCCTCCCACCTGCTTCATCACCATTCTGGATTCAGCTCCCCAGCCTGGTTTGAGCCAGTTCTGCGCCGTCTGATCCCTCCTGCCTGCCTCTCCCCGCCGCCGCCGTCCACTGTTTCTCCTCTCCTTTTGGTATCGGAGCTACTGAAATAGGTTCTCTCCTTTTGCAGCACATCTCCTCCCCATTCCCCACCTGCTGACTTCGCCCCTTTTGGGATTGTTTCTGCTTCTCTCCCCCTTTAGCTGGAATCTCTCGCCGGAGCAGAGGACGTGAAGGATGACATCATAGGGGCCGGCAGCTGTGGGGAGTGTTCCACTCCCTGCCCTCATTGGCCACCAAGCTAAGACCACCGGCGTATAAATTGGACCGGAGAGACTGGCATTCTCCCATGAGGCTGGGGCTCCAGGGGTCTCTCCCCGAAGAAGAGGAGTGCCAGTTGTGGGCCTCCATGCAAGCACCCGCAGCCCAGGCACTTCGCAGCGATAGGCTCCCCCAGGACTCTCAGCAGTAAGTGTCTCCCACCCAAGCCTTGTCCAAGCTTTGGTAGAGAAAAAGGTGCCACGCGGTGCGCGCCAGACAGGCAGCTCTGCAGTGCAGCCAGCAGAGCCAGAGAACGGAGAGTTCAGATTGCAGGGGGCTGGGGAATACGTAGTTATTGGATCGTGGGCCTTTGGACAACCAAGTGGGATAACCGAGAGAGTTCAGGTGATGAGGGTCAGATCCTCGCAAGGGGGTGGGGAACTGGGAGAGTGCAGCGACTGAATACTTGAATCTGGATAATTTGGGGAGTTCTGATGCCGGGAACTGCCTGCATGGAGCAGAGAGAGACTTAGCCAGAGGGGCAGTTTTGCTTCAGCAGTGCGGTTGCAGACCCAGCAGCGTGATGGGGGGATCATAACTCAGTGGTGGGGATCCCTGCGTTCATTGCCTGCATGGAGGAAGCCCACAGTCCACTCCCTGGTGTATTTGCTGGAAGAATCAAGTGGTCATTGATTCACCTGAGACCTTGGGGAGCTGCTGCCTGTTGAGCAGGCAACACTGGGCTGTATGGACAAAGAAGTCTGAGCTGGCATAAAGCAGCCTGTTGTGCTTAGAGCTACAGGAAGGGGCACAGTTCCCAGCCCTGCCACTTGGTGTCCTCCTTGAAGTAGAGATGCCAGCCAGAGATGGCATTCTGAACTCCAGGCATGGGTCTACATCCCACCTGGAAAGCCCTACCTAGTCCTCTAAAATAACAACACGAATCCATCAACTGCCTTGGATAGATCAGATCAAAGCTCTGCCTAGTCTTAAGAATTTGCCACATGCTTGCCAAAGGGATGAGCACAGGCTGTTGTTGAACTGTGGGTTCTGTTGTCTGAACCCAGCTGAGACAACACGCCACGGCGAACAACACACCATGGGTGCTCTTCATGGGTTGTCCATGATTAACCAGCCATGGCCTGTTCGTGATGCTGGTTCAGACAACCAAATAACTCACGTTTCAACAGCAACCCACACTTAACCATACCGAACCCTTAAGTCTGGGTTCTCGTGTTGGCTGAAAGCCAGATTATTGGTCCACCTAGTCCATTATCGCTGACACTGATTGGCAGCCCCTCCCCAGGGGAGGAGTTTTCCCTGTCCCAGCTAAAGGAGCACCTGCTCCCTCATGTGCCCACCTGGACCCTGAGGTCAGCTTCTGAGCTACTTCTCAGACAACCCCCCCCCCCCAAGGAAATAAAGAGGGTGGCAACCAGGGGAAGGGCCTTTTCAGCTGTGGCACCCCAGTTGCGAAACCAGCTCCTAAAGAGGTGCACCAGCACCTACTCCCTCTTCCTTGCAGCACCAGGCAAAAACTTTATTTTATTTACCCAACATTTTTATAGATAAACGATTTAAATTCATTTAAAACAATTTTAACTCTTTGTTTATGTTGTATTTCTTGTTCTACTGCTGTACTAACTTGAGGGAGGTGTTGTAGGCCTGCTGCTGTTTTTATGTTATGTCTATTTGATTTTAATGTTACTGATTTTGCTATTTATTTTTCGATTTATATCCTGCCTTTTTCCTACAAAGGGCTCAAGGCAGCTTACATCACTCTCCTCCTCCATCTTATCCCCACAACAACCCTGTGAGGTAGGTTGGGCTGAGAGTCTGTGACTGGCCCAAAGTCACCCAGTTGGCTCCATGGCTGAGCGAGGACTAGAACCCAGATCATGAGTCCCAGTCCCATGCTCTTAACCACGACACCACACTGGCTCACACTGGTTATTTGCTGTTTAATTTTATGCTGTTGGGTTTTGACTCTGAGAACTGCCCAGAGATAGCCACTGGGAGTTTATGAGAGGTATAGAAAATACATACATACACATATATATACACACACATATAAATACCTGGGATGCCAAGGTTCAAGGTTCACACCTGGGACTTTCTGCATGGTCTCTTCACTCTGTCTCCAAGGGCCAGCAGCAGTGGAAAGTTAAGTTCAAAAGTGCATTTGAATAGCTATAACCTCCTCCCCAACCTTCAAGGAATTGGGGATACACTGCCTCTGAATGCAGAGGTTCAGAGTCACTGGAAGGTGACCACAAGCCATATTCTCGGCTGGTCCTACCCAAACCCTGAATAATACCTGAAAGGGAAACAGGTCAGTAGGAAACAAAGCCAGGCTCCCCCGGTGCTTATGGTACGATGGGGAGCAGCTCACACTGGTCCATACAGCCTGCGGACCAGCGCAAAAGATACGTTCTCCATCAGTGCTCCTCCTGGAAGGATCGCCAGGTTGCAATCCGGAACCTGACTGGAGATGTGCTGCTTTTCAGGGGGGTGGGGGGGCAGTGGGGAAGCCAAAATGCCACCAGTACACTGCCTGGAGTGGGAGGGGGCTAAATGCAGCTCCCCACCCTCCTCCCTCTCCCTGAACAGCTGAAGGGTAGAATTTCAGGTTTGTTTAAAAGGGTTGCGCACATGTGAGACCCCAGCTGCTAGAGAAGGAATGCCCTGCCCTGCAGCCATTCCTGTGCGCCTCCATTCATCCATCTGGCTAGGGATGGGATCCTCTTTTGCCCAGCTGAACTGGGGCACCCAGATTTCTATCATCATCATCATCATCAAAAGACCAATATCTGCTTAAAGGAGGTAGATAAATGAATGGATGAAAAAGATTTTGAGTCAGAGGTAGGGAACTACAACCATAGGGGGGAAATCTTGCCCCCTCGCATCCAAATCTGCGCGCTCGCTCGGTCTCTCTCTCTCTCTCTCTCTCTCTCTCTCTCTCTCTCTCTCTCTCCCTCTCTCTCTCCCTCTCTCTCTCACACACCCCACACCCACACCCACACACACACACACACCCCCGGGGGGGGGGGTTCCCCAAGAGTGCCAAAGGCTGGAATGACTCTAAGTAGCTTCCATATAGCCTGAAGTACCCGATCCTGCCTAATCTTAGAAGCTCAGCAGTTAGAATCTGGGTGGGTGAGCTGAGTGTATGATTCTATGATTATTGTTGCAAACCACCCAGAGATCATCAGCTACTGGTGGTCTAGAAATTTTAATAAGTCTTAACCAGAATGCAGGTTTCAATTGGACTTGGCTGGGCCTTAAAATAAAAGACAAGTTCAAAATAGAGGAATGTCCCCTGTCAAAGAAGACACGTGGTCACCTGACCACAGGCTCACTGATAGTTGGCTTTGCCTTCCATGTGCCTCGTGTTGGACTGCTTTTGACCCTTTTTGTCAATCAATGGGCTGAGACAAAAAACAGATCCCCTCCCGCAGACCAACAGACCAATGGCTAGATGCATTACAAGGCAGATTAGTGAATTTGGACAGTCTGCAATTTGTGTATTTGCATGGACAGGTCCCCGCCAGCAAGGAGTTTACAGTCCTAAATGCCATAGAAGGCAAGCTAAGAGCACAGAAGCAAGATGCACTTCGAAGCTTGCTTTGAATAGAGAATGGAGATCAAGGAGTTAAGCCTTGCAGGAAAAGTGGCTTTTTAGGGAGGACTGAAAAGAGGAGGGAGGGAGGAAGCAGGGCACCTTGGACATGCTTGCAGTGAGAGTCCCAGGTCCAGAAGGCAGCCAGGAGGAGTGGTCGGAGCACCCTCTTTAAAGTTCCCTTGCAGGGTAAGAATGACTTTTTCACCTCAGCAAAATAATTTCGTTTAAAATGCTGGGCAAAACCAATTTCCCTACAGCAGGAGCTTTGCTTTGAGAAATCTGGGACACCCACACAGCCTAGTTGCAGCTGGGGAATTATTTGTCCAATGCATCTCGTAATGAAAAAAGCCAGTGCGTGGGTGCAAAACGCAGACTTGGAGACGCACGCTGTCCTTTTCTTTGCAGTTACTCTGGGTTCCAACACCCTCCTCCTCTCCCGCCTCCGCAATGGCCCCTCCACCCCAGGCCCTGCATGTGAATACTCCACTGCGGGACAGCACCCCTCTCGCCCAACTGGCTGGCACCAAGGTCTACCTAAAACTGGACAGCGCACAACCCACCGGCTCCTTTAAGATACGGGGCATTGGGCACTTCTGTAAAACGGTAAGGCTAGGAACCTCATATGGCAGGGGTGCAGGGCCCGAGGGCCAAACACAGCCCTCCGGGGTCCCCAGACAACCACACCTTTTCCTCAGCCCACTTTCCCATAATCCCCAATCCGCTGGCAGTGTCCTCGCTTTTCTGTAGTCCTTCTTTCCACTTCATTCCATTGGCGAATTTAAAAGTGAGACTCTACATAAAGTTGTTTTGGATTTTTGTGGAAGTAAGAAAGGTGAGACCCCTGCAATTTCCTCAATTTTTTGGACGCATGTGAAGTGGCACAGCAGGAGAGAACGGACGCAAGTAGCCGTTTCACTTCCTGAAACAGTCGCAGCTTGTGCATTTTGCCACAGATCTGTCTGAAAATCAGCCAACCTATCGAGTTCATAATGAAAGCACGCGCCACATTTTGCTCAGCTTGGTGTGGTGAACATTTAAAAAGATGCCTGACTAATTTCGGGAGTGGGGGCCATTTTCCTGTCTGAACACAGATCGGACTGTGCCTCCAGTGTGAAATGGGACAGAAAGAATCCCCAAGGCATCTCATTCATGCCCCTTGCACAGCTTTGCACAATCGCTTTCGTTTTGCGCAATCTGCCATGCAGTTTTCGCTACTCTGCTTCGAGTGTGCTAGTTTCACTTCCTCTGAGGCAGGGCAAGAAAAACAACTTTGTTGGGCCCAAAGCTCTGTATTCACCTCCTGCATTCCTGCTCAATAACCATTTGGCTTATATTGCCTGTGGGCTTCCAACCCTGTCTTCACACCCGAGCTCTTAAAAATAGCAGTTGAGATCACTTAGAATTCCGAATTCTGCGGCACAATATTTTGTGGGCATTCCTGTAGAATGACTGAATTCACACAGGTCTACGCAGTGCCACGCATAACTGTTTTGTTTTACTTGGCTAAGTGCCTTCAGATTAAAAACGAATTTCAAGAGACTTTTCTACCTAGATGAGCTTGTGTTGCAGAGTTGAAATGTGTTACTTCCATGTGTGCTTTGTTAAACTCCCCCAGGCAACCCAAAACTGGGAATGTGCCCAGTTAAACTCAGTGGGGCATACTGCTGAGTAAATATATACAGGACTGCCTCTAATAGCTAACTGCCTCTAACAGCCTCTAATGTTCTAATAGCTACTCACCAATTCCAGCCATGATGGGGAAACGCCTGTATTCAGAGGTAGTAGAGAATGCAGGGGATAGAGAATTTGCTGCAGACTAATTTCACGCAAACTCCCCCACTTTGCTCCAACCATACCTGCTTTTGTATTATTTTTTTAACCTTCCAAGAGCTTCTAGAGTGGTTTACAAAAATTAACAATGAAACAGTCCTTTCCCTCAGGCTTCTAGTCCAAAAGGCATGACATTAAAGGAAAAGGGACTAGGAGGGTAGAGGAAGAAAGCAGTATCTAGGGGCTTCCTGGGGGCATCTGGTTGGGAGAAATTAGGGGGCTGGAGAAGATGAGCCCTTGGGTTTGATTCCACAGGGCTCTCCTGGCATTGGGTAAATCAGCCTCTCCCAACCTGGGGAAAGATAAAACTTCTCTGAAGGGCACCAGGTTGGGGGAGTAGGGCATACATGTGAGAGGTGAGGCAAGAATGCGGCCTGGACCTTTCCCCAAAGCCCTCAGTCCCGTGCGGAAAGGGACAGGCTCGCTCATTTCTCTTCCTTTGCTTCCGCAGTGGGCCGAGCGAGGCTGCCGGCACTTTGTCAGCTCCTCAGGTAAAACATGGGGGGACTGTGATGGGTGGGAGAGGATGAAGGGACGGAGAATGCCAGAACAGAAGGGGGCGTGTTTCCATTTGCTTTTGTACCGGACAAAGGCAACCGTCGCATCCACAAATCGGCCCCCTTTAAGCTCTGGCCCTGCCCCACAGCTGCCATGGAGCCTCATGAAGCAATGTTGGCCTCCGCTAGAAAAAATGTTCCCCACTCCGATGCAGGAGGCGATGCTCATGAGGTCTAGCGTCATGGGATGACTTTCTTTCAGGGGGAAATGCAGGCCTTGCGGCTGCCTATTCTGCTAGAAAACTGGGGATTCCCGCTACCATCTACGTGCCCACCTCTACCCCAGCTTTCACTGTCCAGCGCCTGAAAGATGAGGGCAGCACCGTATGTGTCGAGGGAGAGGTCAGTACGAAGCCCAGAGTTGGTGGAATAAGAAAGGGTCTCAAGCTCATCCATCTGATGGCCCAATCCAGTTTTGAAGAAGCCCTCTAGGGGGGTGCATTGCAGGGGGGGGTCCACAGGCAAAAGAGGGCAGGGACTATTATTATTATTATTATTATTATTATTATTATTATTATTATTATTTCTATGCCGCCCCTTGCCAAAGCCTCGGGGTGGCTTACAACACAATAAGATACATTGAAATACAACAGAACATAATAAATTACCAATAAATACAAAAATACAAAAAATACACTGAGATACAATAATATAAAATTAAAATTAACAGTATAAAATAAGTAAATAAAGAATATAGGAGGAGGAAAGAGAAGGGAGAAGAAGTTGCCCTGGCCAGATCATATATTTTAACAATTAAAATGATGTTTAAATAAAAAGGTCTTTACCTTGCG